CACAAGCCTGGGGCACCCCCAGGCCTGCCCCTCCCCGTCATAGCCAGATTTCACGGGGGAGATCAGATTTCACAGTCTGTGATGCGTTTTTCAAGGCCGTGAATTTGGTAGGACCCTACATGGGAGGGACAGTGTGCAAACCCCACTCCAGAAGGAAGGGGCTGGGGATTGATACTGGGTGTGGGGCAGAGGGAGGGGTCAGCAGCACGTGGAAGGCGGAGGAGGGATGATGGCAAAAACAAGAAAGGGCCCCCAGCCCCAAGGGGAGGGAGAGAAGGAGGCACCAGCCAGAGAGGGTCTCCTCCCCACCTGGGTGAACGAGATGGGGCAGCACCCAGGAGAGAATCCCCAAAGACAGGTATCAGAGGGGTAGCCGTGTTAGTCTGGATCTGTAAAAAGCAACAGAGAGTCCTGAGGCACCTTTAAGACTAACAGAGGTGTTGGAGCATAAGCTTTCGCGGGTGAATACCCACTTCGTCATACACATGCCCAGACCCAAGGACAGGGTGAAGGGAGACCCCACAACCCAGCAAGAGGGAGAGAGATTGAAGAAGATCACTGGAGACACCAAGGGGCTCGGTCCGACCAGGGAAAGGGTTAATATGCTGGAGTGTTTAAAGCCCTCCCCCTCTCTGGAATGCCCATTCTCTAGTCATAGCAGCTTCTGTTTTCTCTGATCTCAGAAGCTTCTTCTGCAAGTGAATCCAGGGTCACCGACACAAACTGTCATGATCTGTTCCCATTTGCACCCTTCTTTCCAGGCCCCACCTTTCCCAGAGACTCACCCCATTCTCTCTCCAGTTCGGAGGGCAGGGTATCTAGAGAGAGAGGAGAAAGATGAGATGTCATGCTGTCACGTTATGGTGTGATTTCTGCCATCCATAACCAGAGCTGGAATGAATTTGGGGGCATAGTGAGAAGAATTGTTGAAATATTACATGGTGGCAAAAGAGAAAGAAAAATGTAAAAGTCAAAAAACAAAACAAAACAAAAATAACCCGCCTTGTATTAGGTCACAAAAAAG